GTTTATCGTTTAAATAATTATAATTTATAATCTGGCCTTACTTACAAACGTCTAATTTTAGAAGTGACATTTAATTGATAGAACCCCATTAGGATATAATAAAAAAATTCTATCTGGAGGTCGGTTGAGGTAATTATTTTTATGGCCAAGAGGGGGTCCTTTATCAAAATTCAATAGACACGAATAAAATGCTTCATTCAACAAAGGATGTAAATTGACTCTTTCGTTGAAATCCCTATTGTCCAAAGTTATTGGTTCTCGTCAGACCGACATTTATGTAATTTGAGTAATTATTAGCTACCAGCTGTGCCTGGCATTTTGTTTGATATAATTAATAATTTTGTGATATCTTTGCATAATAATAAACGTATGCAGTGTCAGATTAATTATTGCGTCGTTTATAAGCGAAAAATTAATACGTTTTCTGTCCGACAGATTTTTAGATTCATGCATGTTTCATGTTTTCATCATGAAGAATTGTGCTCATAGAAAACATTCTTATACAGCCGGGGTCGGGCCACAATGGTCGCACAATAATGTGATAGCCGCAGGACTGATACTTTTGTATCAGTCCTTTTTACACGCTTTATATTAGCTTCACCTGTATGTATGTATGTATGTAATCGACTCCTTCGGACTCGATTTTGAACCACTTTAAACGGACAGATTAAATTCAAACTTTGTACACTTATAAAGAATCAGCGACAATATAATAATTTCATAGGTTTATCTCGAAAAAACAATGAAATTTTTTTTAAGTCCACAAAGCAATACGATTAAATTGAGACAACACGTATTGCTGCTAGGACTAAAAAGTGGAAAATAAATATAGTTTAAAATGGTAATGAACAAAAAATACTGGTATTATTGTGAAAAAGCGTGGGGCGCTCTGTGCCATATTTTTCGTCTATCGAGCAACCCAGCTGAGCTTTAAAAGCGTGTTTTTTAGTTTTTTTAAACTATATTTTTATTTTTATTCTATTTGACTTTAAGCAGGTGCTTCATTAAATTATTTTTATACAGACAGACGTTTGGCTGCATTCCTGTTGTCGAGTGATATGCGGTCTATTGGAGATCCTATCCAGGAGGTAGGTAGGTAGAATCCATGTAATAAATACACAGGGAAAGCGCAAGTGAGGATTTCTAACAGACCTGGTGACAGTTGTAGGTGAGCCAAAAACGTCGGAATGATGTACAGCAAATGTATGCGATGAAGGATTACAGATGATGCCCATTAGGGCGCATTGCATGAGACTAGATCCAGGTTTTGACTACCGGTAATAAAATAGCTTCAATTAGAGGCAACTACCAAAGTTTGAACAGATAAAAAGTGGTTATTGAAATCGGCCTCGAGACCGACTTCTGTCTCATATACTCGTATACATTATGTTTTTTTTTTTTTATATTGGTAAAAACCTATTCCAGACTCGTAATCATGCTTTGTTTCACGTTCGTCACATCAACACCAACTATGCAAATGCTCAGTTTTGTATCGCGCAGCCCGGAGATGCAACGACCTCTATTTAAGCCTTGACTAGTTAAAGCTAACGCGGAATATGCTTATAAGCTGTATTAAGAATATCCATAGCGCTAAATAACCTGCATCATGAGTACGCCCCACATACACCCTTACTTTCATACCACACACAGCACAGCCGTCTTAGGTATTACGTTTTTCTTAATTTTTATCGATTTTTCCTTTAGTAAAGAGTATTTGAATCTTTTTGTATATAATATGTATTCCATCTTTGGAAATATATTTAGTATAATTGGTTTTTGTTGTATAAAATTTATTATATATTACGAAATAAGTAAATAATAAAATAGTATGAAAAATACAATATAAACAAGCATTTCAAAGAAAAGGATAACGTTTCGTAGGCCGCTCTATCTGGGATTATCCCGTATTAACTTTTTACAAATAAGAATATTTTAAGAAGATGAAACCTTTACTTAACAATACAATAATAATTATAAATGTAAATGTAAGATAAATTTCACAGTTATAAGACCTACCATAATTACAGTACGTGTAATGCGCACATAGAAAGAAAGTCCATTGGTGCACAGCCGGGGATCGAACTTACGACCTCAAGTATTAGAGTCGCACGCTGAAGCCACTAGGCCAACACTGCTCTATATCTCGAAGAAAGAATATTTTAATTATTGTAATTATATGATACTGTTACAAATACTAAGGATGTTCAATAAAGAAGTACTGATTTTATATTTATTAAATAAACCCAATTATCTTTTATCAAATGTTCTTTTATTTTTCGACATAGTCATCTTTCAGGGCTATATACTTTGTTACTGTTTTTTCTAAATCTAAAATTTACTTTTTAAAACAATTTACTTCCTGCCTTGCAATTATGTAACTCACTTTTAGAACTCTCACAGCGGTTTTTACAGCGGCGGTCGCGCTCAAATCATAAGGAGGGAGCTTGTAGTTTATTGTTTATCAGAATGCCAAATCGTAATCGTACTGAGAAGTGAGTTACAGAATCGCAAGGCAGGAAGTAAATTGTTTTAAAAAGTATGAATCGCGGGGGCGTTATCTTGGTGAAGCAAAAACTTAAGCTTGCGTGTTACCTCTCGAAACATTTTTACTAGCCTGCGTACAATTCCCGTTATAGTGGCCATATGATTAAGGTAATGATCACATGTATGAAGAAAATTATTCAAAGGGATACAGAAATCTTACGTCATACGACTGACTCCCGTTTTAGTACAATTCAAATTATGTGTATCTCGAAGATAAGAAAAATCAGTGGCGCTACAACCTCTTTAGGTCTTGGCCTCAGATTTCTGAATCTGTTTCATGATAATTTTTAAATCTAATAGGCAAGTAAGTGATCAGCCTCCAGTGCCTGAAACACGCCGTCGACTTTTCGGGTCTAAGACATGTCGGTTTCCACACGATGTTTTCCTTCACCGTTCGAGCAAATGTTTAATGCGCACATAGAAAGAAAGTCCATTGGTGCACAGCCGGGGATCGAACTTACGACCTCAGGTATGAGAGTCGCACGCTGAAGCCACTAGACCAACACTGCTCTATATCTCGAAGAAACAATATTTTAATTATTGTATGGAAATTCTCCGGAACAAAATAAGGGCAACTCCCACTGGGCTAATTATATAAAGCTTAAGGCGATGTGGAGTCTACCAATTTAGTAGCATTTGTCAGGGGAATTAAGTTTATAAAAGTCAATTAAACGTTATTATATTTTAGCTATGCAGGAGCTGCAGATATTGCTGCGATATTTCCTCCCAATTTGATTACCGTATTTCCAATTATGATTGGTATTTGATCATGAAATAGATTATTAGTTAGATTATTATTACACTAAAGTACGCAAGGGTGAAGTCACTATTTGTCGCCAGAAAAGTGCCTAATATGGCTTTTAAACTACTAAAACCTGTATCTATACAAAAATGACTTTAGAGAACTTCTGTCGTTTTGAACAAATCTTTTCCACACCTTTATTGAATTGAAACAATTTTTTTTTTATAAATAGTGCAGTAAATATACGATTGGCCTCTAAATATTGTAGAATAAAGAATTCAATTACTCATAATCAATGTTTATTAAGCGCTCAAAAATGTTTAACTAAATTAGAGCATATTAATAGCTTGCGATGCTTAAAATTAGTACTAATAACATGCAATAAACATTTCATAAACTGAATTTCTGGAAATTATGATAAGCCTTTGCAGCGTCTATTACCTGGCATTTCAAGACCTAATTTAATAGCGACAATAGGAAATCTGCTTGTCGACTCGAACAGCAAATCCCTAGGAGAATTAGGTGCATATTATATACAAAGGATTCAGTGACTCGACTCCAGAGAAATATCTGCTCCTTTGTTTGGATGAGTTTGCAGCTGAGTTTCATCATCGGACGTCAAGGCAGAATACAAAATACCATCCGTATCACCTCGACGTTCGGCGTTCCACAACGGAGCGATTCTTAAGGCAGGTTTTGCAGCGTACTACCACTACGTGGAACCAGCTGCCCACTGAAGTATTTCCGAACCAATTCGACTTAGGGTCCTTCAAGAAAAAACCATACTAATTTTTAAAAGACAGGCAACGCACTAGCGAGCTTTCTGGCAATGTGAGTATCCATTGGCGACGATATCAGATGAGCCTCCAGCCCGTTTGCCTTCTGTTACATAAAAACTAAAGTATTTCCGAACCAATTCGACTTAGTCTTACGGTCCTTCCAGAAAAGACCATACTCATTCTTAAAAGACAGGCAACGCACTTGCGAGCCCTCAGGCATGGAGAGTGTCCATGGGCGGCTGTATCACTTAACATCAAGTGAGCTTCCTGCCCGTTTGCATCCAGTTATAGAAAAAAATAAACAGTTGAAATTGGGAGATATACGTTTACCTACTATTAATATTCACATTATGCCGGAACAGGGTAAATCCTAACGCTAAAAAAAGGCACATATTATAGTATATAGATTAAATACGATGTATTGATGACCTATGTAAGTTCAACCTTGTCGTATTTGCAAAAGTTATCAGCAGAAACATGTTATTGGATAAAACAAAAGCATATGTTTACTTTACGCTATGTATATATGCGCACATACTTGTCTGATCTCTGAAAGAAAAAGCTGAACTTCGTATGTTACTGGAGTGTACTATCTCTAGAATAGAGTTTAATTCTTGTCCATAGGTAATAGTTCAAACTTATCCGCCGAGGTCAGCATCAAATAATATCATCAATGTGTCAGGTATCCAAAGATATAAACATCCGCGGAACGAAAATATGTTGTTAATCACAAATATTTACTGTTAGTAAAAATTCGTAGTTACCTTATCTAAGGTGTCATCTTTATACGAAATTAAATATAAATATAATCATTATCTAAACTCATAAATACCTTTAAACATAATAAAACCAACCAAACTACGAAAAGTTCGTGCTAAATAACAAAATGTATATATTTTTATTAGATTTATTCACATGACTTATACGGACCCACATTAAACAAAAACTTTGGTCACTTCCGGTTTACCATAGATATTCATATTTAGAAACTGATAAACGCTGTATTCTGGACTTAGTGGTACATCTATTTCAACATCCCATTTTTCACATTTCATTGGTATATCAATACCTAGTTTTACTTTATACGGGATTGTTATAACAAGATCTTCGCCTTCAATCCACCATATCGCGTCTCTGGTTTCCAGATTCGAGGGTAGGATTTTCATAGCTGAGAACTCATTGCCTCCTTGGAATCCAGCCTTTATCACCATAACACTATTCTTGATTTTGATATTCACAAACTCTTCTAAGTCCTTTTGAAGTATATACTTAAGAATGTAACCATCAGAATCGTATGTTTCTCTTTCGTTGTTGAAGTCATTGCATGAATTTGCTACAATGCCATCGGCAATTCGCAAATGGTTAGCTATTTCTTCAATTATCGCCTCCGGATTAGCAATATTTGTTTTAGTGGGTTTATGATAGCCGTTTTCCTGTTGATGCCATCTTGCTTCGGCAAATATAAACAATGTTAGTATGTATAAACAGTACATCTTTCTTGGAATCGTATTCTATACTGGGCATTTTGTTATTCCTTATCAATAGTGCTGTGAACTAATGACCTTACCTTACTTATGTTTTATTTGACGAAATATAAAATGATTTTTATATTTTTTTTGCCTTGTTTAAATTATGTTTGATGCTTTGTTAAATGTCATTGATTTGAAAGTCCTTTCATCTTCATCATCAACTTCAATATTTTTTTTTTAACGCTGTGTGGAGGGCTGTAAGTGACATCGGAGAAGTATGGCATGACACTGCCGCCTCTTATTTTTTATGGACTATCGGAAAATACTAGAATTTTTGTGGAACAAATCGTTTGACTTTCGTAATTAATCCGACGTGTTCGACTAACGCCCACGCGATTGGGTCGCCGGTACCAGCGCTCTGACCATCATATTTCTTTTTTTTATTGCATAATAAGACCCCTGAAGAACCGCCATACTTATACAAATGACCCACTATTTTGTTTCACTGTCTATCAGAGATGCGAATTACAAATTTAATCGTACAGGTTAAAATTAACTCATAATATAAAATATTTAAATGTTGTAAATTTACTGGTATATAAAATTTTCCACGTAAAATAAGTTTAAAGAGGGCGGCGCATGACTGCATCGCAATTAAATAGCTCGCTTAAAAATCTAGTAAAAGCTTTTGTTACGCTCTTAGAGTTAATTAAATTACTTTATACAAACGCAATTTTCGCAATTAAAAAGAATTTACACATTTAAGTATTGGTCTAGTTTGAAAACCGGCTTTGCACGAAAATATTTTTGTATGTCTTTAAAAAAAACGACACGTTTCAGGCACATAGTAACCGAACAAAGCAAGCAACAGAAAGCATAGTCACTCATTAAATGATTATTTATATATTATAATATAACAATGGTTGCTACGTGATGATTTATATTTAAACATTGTATATCATTTTAACTTGTCTTGGTCCAGTCTGGGATAAAAGCAGTATTTTTCTAAGCCTGTCTCATATACTGAACGATAAATCAGTAAAGTTTGCGTGCCGGGATTACATCAAGCCGTGAGCTGAATCAATGATAACATACACTGATAACGTAGTAGATTATTTGTTTCTAAAAGAGAAAAAAATCATGAAATATTTATAAATTTTTTACGTCTATATATACTTGAGTTACGAATTTAAAAAGTTAATTGGTATCCCTAGATTATTGAACACAAATTTATAATTAGATAGATTTTTTTAAGAGCCATTTTTGAATCGGAATATTTGGTATCGTCTGGTAGGGAAGGGGAAAATAGCCTCTAAGAAGCTCGGTATGCTCAGCAGGGTGCGATGGTACTTCAATCTCAAGTCCAGCCCCTTTCTTCTCCTTCCTTTTGACCGCACCACCGTTGCGTAGAGATGTAGGGTCTCTCTGCATCTTTTATAGCATATATAATGGGAGGGAGTGTTCCGAAGAACTTTTCGGATTAATACCTGCGGCTTAATTTTATTATTAGACGTCAGAACAATGCAAATTCCACCTGTTCCACCTTGAGGGCTGTCGTGCAACGCCACTTTCTAAAATTTATATAAATCAATAAAAAGTTTTGTTTCCTTTGAATTATTAAACCAAAATAATGCTACCTACTTGCTACTACGTTTAAGAACTACTTACTACTATCCTCTAAACAAAACAAATTCCATCAAAATATGGATGTGATCCTCAGGAACACATCACAGATATGGAGTTATACCTTTTCAAATTAGACAATTTTTATTTCTTTATTCCTACATGTCTTATGCTTGAACATATATTTACGTATGTAAGTCACTTTAATTACATTGTTTGAACTAAGATACTATTCACGAAGGCTACTATGTAACTGCGATTCACAATTGCGATACTTCAATTTAGATGTTTCTACTATGAATTTACAACACTTATTGAAAGACGTATCTGAGCTAATCGTCACTCTGACGACGATTTTGCAACAAGTATTATTTAGGGCAATATTTGCGGCTGCGGCAGGTTAAAGGGCTGAGCTTAAATGTGGTCACACTCAAATGAGAGTTCAAGATCTGTCACTGTCAATTTATAACTGCCGTAATCATTGTTTATAGAGAATCGCCAAGCGTGGCTGTACTTCAACCACATTAGTCCTGAATAAAAGGGCTACACTTCAGTACAAATTCTAAATTCCTTATGAACTAAAGTTGAAAAAAATCCAATTAATACTAAAAACGAAACGAAAACCGAGAGAGAAAATAAACTTTACGTTATACATCTTAAATTAATGGAGAAAAGCAATCACATCCCAGGTTGGCAAATAAATACCTTTTCACCCTTGCTATTTTAGGGTGTTATTTTAAGATTTGAGGATAACAATGTGAAGTTATTATTATTATATACTATTATCTATGAATGCTTCATATCGAACAATTATCATGGTCACAAGTTTTAATTCCTGTTTTAAAACCTGTCTCTCAAATGCAAAAAAATAACCAATACACCACTCTTGTTGTTTCTTATTGTTAAAATAGGTTAATTTTCGTTTGTTCTTTTTCTTTTATCCCAAAAGTCCGGAAAACAAATAGATGTGTCAAGACAATTTTGACAAGGAGCTAAACGTGTGTTTAATACGAATAACTGAAAACAGTTTAATAGTCTCACGTGAGTTACGACTTGTTTGTAATAGTGGATTTCGAAAAACTTCTAAATTGTTTTAACTTATCTCGAACTTAATTTCCGTATTTATTTTGTACGCCTCGGTACTTTGATAATAGATATTCTTCATGTCGGAACGCGAGGAATATTTAATTTATTTCTTTACCATTAATAAAGTTGTTCTACAACGACTGACGCTTTCATCAGAACGATAGTGATTTTAATTACTAAATTTGTTAATTAATAATTTAATGTATTATTTACATAACATTGCAGTACATAATAATAGTTTAAAATAAATAAATATAACTCTAATATAATTGCCTTAAACGCTACAAATTCCTCGCAGTATTGATACTTATTCTTTGAGCGAAAGGAAAGCGCCAGCTATTGGGTACTAGTACTTTCTACCAGGCGCCAGGTGCAATTGAACTAAAAAAGTTAAAAGTTAGAAGAAAGACTCTGTATTATCATAAATAATCTATTTCTTCCACTTGATCTCCAATATTTGGCGCGAAAGTATTGAACACTTTTCAAAATGAGGTTAATAAGAAAATACTAATTGCTAATTCAATGGAGTATTGATAATAAATATGTATAAGTTTATTAGATAGGAATATCTGAAACATAGTCTTAAAAAAGGTAACTTTCTTAGTCTTTGAAAGTTATCGTAGTGTTTTTTGAAAATGCTTTCGTCTTTACAATCTAGGTTTTCCAAAAGAAACGATAAAAGATTAATGGCGACACACGAAAATATCCATTCCATCCATCATACATTATAGCTTTTGTTGATGCACGTCACGTATCACTTCACCAATCACAATCGAAAAAAACGCGCCGTCATTTCGTCTTTCGTTCCTTAATAAGAGCTGAAAATTTAAATATTCAACTCTATAGACAAAAAAATTAATTAATATATATAGAACGTAAAACCCGTTAATAAATGTCACAGAGTATCACAGACAACTGATGATGTGAAAGTTTTTATTGCATGCATCTGGCCGTTAACAATCTGTCACGCGAAAAAATAAAACTGTCATGGCAAAATTTTTTACGCAGCCCGTTATGTAAAAAATTACTAAAAATTGTTTTGTTCAGCGAACTAGTAAATAAAAATGGATGAAATTGTGCAATGTTACCGAGCGTGGAAAAGAGAGGTATACAATATTGTTTCTATTGAATTACAAAGAGTTAGGTATTGGAATCAGTTGGCAAATAATTTCAAAAAGCTTTGATACACTTCATTATTTTATTGGTCGTATTTATAAAGGGAATCAAATGAATGTTGCAACTGTTTAATTGACGTACTCTGATAAAGCTTTTATTGTTAAGTACCGTTTCGATTTGATTTTATTAAAAATTTATTCGTTAAATTTCAAGCTATACGTATGTTTTACGACATTAAGGAGTCTAAAATGAAACAACAGGTTATAAGGAAACATTCGCAAACATATTCTTATAAATTTCAGACAGCAAGTTGGTGAGACGGAGGCTATTTGCGTCACTAGTGTCATCGACAGATTTGATAGACAGCTTCGCCATGACATACGATAATAACGATCAGCATTGGCTACAAACGGTCCTTGGACCAACGGTAGGATATTATTTGCTTCAATAATACGCATTAGAGCCTCCAGTGCCTAGGGGAGCCAGCTTGGTATAATGAAGAATGAGAAATATTTAAAAACTAGGCAGGAACTTTTAACGTTAGAGCTATTTATACCTATAGAGCTTCACAAAATCTTTAGACCAATTAAAATCTCTGTCTCTACCTGTAGCCCCTTCTCTTCTCGAACGTAACACCTTAGCCATCTACAATCTTTGCACAAATCAACAATCGAATTGCTAACGTAATCGAATAGTAAACACGTTTTGTATTCGAAATTTAACAGTGCTCTTGGGAATGAGAAACAGGACGCACATGACATGCTTTCGAATAGAAAACATGTAAGGAAAACGTGTTGGCGATGACGTCAACCAATGTTTTATATCGAGTAACCATGGTTGAATATTTGACGATACGAAAAATTTCTAGATGATATGAAATTTCAAGCTGGCATTTGGAAACACATTTCATATATTGTTCGAAAGTGTTCGACATGTTTGAATTTTAATGAAAATTGCTTCAACTTAGATAAAATGGCTATTTCTTTTAAAATTTTGGCTTTTTCGAAAATGTGCATTGATCTAATTAAAAGCTGAAATTATACTTGTTGCATAGTTTTTAAGTCCAAAAACATTGGCAGGTGTTTATGGCGCCTTGTGCTATCCGCTATATGCTATATAAAAATAGGCTCTTACGTATAGTAAAAAAAAACTGTTAAATTATGAATAATATCCACAACTATTCACAATATCCAAGATATAAGTTCCTTGCTTGTCTTTTTTATTTACGAGTATGACCATTAAAAAACATTCTACATAACCAAACCATTCTGTAAAGCGCGCAAAATCAGCGCTGCAGTGAGTTTTTTTTAATTTAAATAAATGATTGTGATAATTGACGCATTGCCTACATTATTCAAGCAGGTTATATACCTGGCTTTGCACCACTTTACTTTCTGTGTAACGCGGTCGTACGGAGTCGGGCATGTCTGATATCCAAAAATCTACTACACGTGTCAGACAGAAGGCTGATCACCTACTTGTCTATGAAACAAAATTGATTGTTTGAATCAGACGCAATTTGAGGCTTTATAGGGTTGTAGCGCCTCTGCATTATAATTATTATTACCAACATAATTCCAATTCATAAGCAAAAACTTATTCTAAAATGTGTAATACACTTCACTTGAAAGGGAGCGTTCAAGTATTACGTAACGATTTTGGGGGGGGGGTCCTTCCGTAAAACGTTACGATGCGGGGCGGGAATTGAATTGCGTGACGTAATACTTGAACGCTCCCAAACCTATTAGAAACTTAAACTATACCTATCTACTGATTAAGAAAATTTATTATAAAATTAAAGTACACAAAATACCGAAGTTCGTTTGACTAAGCTCAGTAAACATTTACGATGAAAACATCGTCGGAGATCAGAGGTTACCACAAAATGTTCCCGTTTAATAACTGCGAAGCATTTGTCAACAATGTTTGGGATAAAGCTCGGCGTACACTCACTATTATAGTCTCGTGACAGCCGTCTCAGATATTAACGAACGAATCATTGATTTTTATTAGTTTTTTTAAACCAGCTTCAAATACCTGTCAAAATTATTAATGTGGATATCTTTAAAACTGAACTGAACAGTCGAAATGTAAATCAGAATCTTCGCCATGACATGACTTTTAGTTGCTGAGAATTATTCATACAAATATTTGTAGCACACGTATTTAACGGAAGAAGCCCACAAAGATCGTCATACTCATAATATCAACTATATCACATACGTAGAGGTCTCCGAAACTGATAACCTCCATTTAAGAGTCGGTTAATTTTAATTATCATTATTTTTGTGTAAAAAAGATGTTACGGCAATACAATGTAAAGTATCAAAAATGAAATCGAAAACCTTACGAGTATTTTTTAAGATACACGAAATAATATACATACATAATGAGAAATATTAGACATTAGACATAACATTTATTACAAACGAAAACACACACACATGAACACACAAAATAACAATAATCAAAGAAAAAAATAAGATATGAGATATCAAAAACAATAAAAAAAATCCCTTTTCCCTTTCGGTTCGTTTCAAGTGTGTAATGCGTGTGTGCTGTGGCTGTTATTGGCCCTGACATTATGCTGAGGAGCAGAATGTTCCAACTTCCACAGCGCTGTTCATTCTGCCAGAGACCACAGCAGCTAGTTTGCGCCTCAGTCGCAAAAAACGAAAGAAAAGGAATTAATTAAATACTTAGTACTATATAATATACTATTTTTGAGTAAAAAAACATATGGTTTCCTAGTATTGTCTTTGATTAACATAACTTTTATTCATTTAATAAAACACTATTTTGACCGGATTGAAGTTATGTATTATTATAAATTTACAACTATTTAACATAATTTTAAATTTATCCGACGTTTCGCGTGCTTTACAGTCACCGTGACCACGCACGCTGTAAAGCACGCGAAACGTCGGATAAATTTAAAATTATGTTAAATAGTTGTAAATTTATAATAATACATAACTTCAATCCGGTCAAAATAGTGTTTTATTATATGGTTTCCTGTGTGTGCTTTACCTACTCATTATGTGGCTTTCACTTTCCACGCCAATAACGTTCAATCGATGTATAAGGGACGGTTTTTTGGGTAACGATTTGTTTGTGTGCGCCAAGTTAACTTGTTACTTTATCGGTGCGAGCGTCGCCGAGATGTTTTATCTGTATAATAAAAATTTCTTACAATCCTCACATTTCCTATTTCACTTAGCATTTCTTTTATGCCGGTGTTTTATTTCATGGACCAGACGCTTTTCCTACTTTATACCTTTGTGTAAAAATTGTATAAAAATTATTTGTAAATTGTTCGGCACAGAAATGTTGACTTCAATTAAAACATTTTAAATTTTCTACAGCAAAACGGTTCTTTATATAATTAATATACTATAATTAATATAATATTTAGGAAAAGATTTGTATGTTTGTAAGGAATAAACGCAAAATGTTTTACTAGTAGCTACATGAAGTCTGAGGCTTGAGTAACAGAAGTTATACATATTTCTTTCTAAAACATTCTTAAACAAAAAACTTGGCGATTAAAAAGAGTGGCGGAGAGTTTATAACTTCTCTACCGTTCTACGCCCTTTATTTGAGAACTGGCAGTAAATGTAAAATTAGAAGAATATAATGTATATTTCTTTTTTGACGTTAATATCATCATTGTGTTACCTATATGAATAAATGATTTTTGACTTTTGACTTTTCTAATAAAAATTACTAGCTCAAATAAAATCCTTTAAAAAACTGCCTCCATAACAATATAATATGTATGTCTTAACTAAATTATACTCCATTACATTTCATCGATTTCAATTACAAATAATTTTCTCTTTTCATACAAAATTTGAATGGGTAATTTTAGTTTTAAAGTATACTTATAAAGTTTATTGTACATAATAGATCATAACAAGAGTTTTTATAAGAGCTTCTACTTTTTATTTTCAGTTCACGATGTCAAGCGTATCGTCGGCTTCAGTGGATGGTACAAAAACTATAGTATCCAGCTTCAGAACCTGGATGCAAGCACACGAAGAGGCTCAGGTAGGTCTTAATAAGGCTTATAAATGCATGGTTGACTTCTCAGACTTCATCAATAACTTTGTATAAGTAATTAAGTAGTTTGAACATTGAAGACGTAAAACGGCGCCTTCGCCCGAACTCACGGCAATTCGTCCTATCAGGCGTTAAATGTTACATAAAGCATATAATTTAAAGTTGAAAAAATAATTTAATTCCATGAAGATCAATAAATTGTAAGTTAAGACTATACTTTAATGTTAAAGCAATGGGCTATAATATGACAGTATGAAAAATAAAGTGTTAAGAGTCATCTATATAAAACACGGCTTTAAAAATAACTTTAATGGAATAATTAATACAAGTTGCTTGCAAGAATGGTTGCCTAGAAGATATCGTTCGAAAGCGATAAGGCCGCCAGTTTCCTTTTCATATAATTATGTTCAATTTTTATATTGTAATGCAACGAAGTGTTGATAAATAAATAAATAATTAATAAAAATCAATTTTAAATATTGATTTTTATACGTCAGTTATATGACACATTACGGTAACAGTTTAGATTTGTCAAATAGCCTATTTGAAGGTATCGATTGATTTGAATCGTAGATCTGTGACGATACCAGACACTAAACTAGCTCCGTGCAAACGTATCCATACTCTTACATTAAGGCTTATATGGTAACCCTGAGCCACGTTTGACATGAAAAGGATAACATAGTAGCTTTTTGTACTTTATATATAAAAAATAACTAAGTATTCTTCTTTTAAGGTAATGCTAGCTAGTGTATTAGTGGTCCTGGGAATGTGGTGGCTGGTGCGAACCATCATGTCGCTTCTTATCAACATCATCTGTCCAATACTCGTCGTGTTTTTTGCTGTTGTAAGTACCTGAATATACAATGCAATTTAAAAAAGTAACCGATTAACTCTCACTCGTTCTGTTCACAAGGGTCTAACTTATTCTTGATAAGTATGTTTATGTATTACTTTTTTAAGTTAAAGCTTTATAAAATAAATAACTTAGTATGGTCATCAATAATTGAAATATTTTTTTTGTTTTTTCTGAAATTTAGATTTTGTAAATTCCTTTATTAATATGCCTTTTATTGCTACTTTAATATTCTAATCATATATACAGAACGATCTTAAGATAACTTTCAAACTAAATCGCCTCTGCTGAGGAATTAAACGAGGTTTTTAACTTTAAGTTTTTTTCAACACTAGACACATTCATTTCTCAGAACATTTAAAAAAAATCATACCCTTAGATCACTATCACTCATTTAATTTCATTGAATTAAGCCAATTTGACAGATATGCTTCAGTTACACACAAACCCACAACCACACTCTACTCGTACAATATTATTGTTTAGTCTGTAAGTAAACCTTTTAATTGGCGTATTTATTTAAAAATAAATATTACGTTATTCTATAATTTTGGTTTCTTGACGGCAAACATCTCGCATATACGCAGAAATATTCATCCATATCTGATATTATCTCCAATTTCAGATGTGTATACCACAGTTGCGTGCCCCACTGCTTGGTCAAAATTATCCACTATTAGCCAACCTGATGCGTGATATATTTTTAAAGATGGCGGAAAACATGAAGACTTGACGTTTGACAAAATGTAAAAATTGTAAAATAGATTTGACTTTTCTCGCTCACTATAGTTTTATTGGTTAGGAGTTTAAATTATTTGCAATTGAGAACATAATTTTCAGTATTCGTTTTGTTTTTTAAAACACAAAATAATATTTAAAAAAAAGGTTAATAGAATCTTTATTCATGTTACAAGTTTATTTTTTTACACAAAAACATTTATATACCTATTATTAATCTACAATAATATTATAATACTTAAAAATAAAAGTAACTAATTGAATTAATTATTAATTTCTTAAAATTAAATTTAAAAAAAAGCAGTACTTATAAAAACGGCAAGCAAATCTACGGAACAAATTTTCTCTTGTATGAAATTTAATACAATAAGTCGACTAAGCTGAAATACAGAAAACACCGAGCTCGTTAATAAAAATTTATAATACCGTATATCTATAAAATGGCAAACATAGGTTGGTTAGTGCGGTATATATTATATCCAGCTCGTTGAACACAACCGAATAAGAAACAGCATACTAATATTCCTATAAAGATTTCTGATTTTTATTTACCATTACATACTTATATTTATAAAACTGTCGATGAGTCTCGCCTTTGTCCTTACTGCGTTAGTCTATTTATAAATATGATTAAATCAAGTATTACGCCTTTCAAATACGAAGTAAGAGCCAGAAACGTAAAATTAAAGAATCAATCAAATTAATATAACATTGTATGAATGGCGCCAAACGCCAAGGGTTGATTGAAGAAATTAATAGTTAATTCTGTTAGTGCATATTACTATATCAATTTATGAATATATAAATGAAGTTTGATTTTGCTGCGTGTATAATGTCGAGTGAATATATCAAATAAAGATTAATAAAATTTCCCACGAAGTTCAAGTTCAAAAATTCCACTAAACCCAACTCAATACCGCGCATGCGTTATAGCAACTGCTGCCACAGATTAAATTGTCAAATATCGGCGCTTCTGTCACGCACGGCTCGTTTTTTGATTGTGGATTTCATTCAATATTTCCAAAGCATTTACGTTAACATTTTATTCTTAAGAGTATTAAAATGAAATTATGGATTTACTTTATCAAAATTGTGTCTATATCTCAGAGTTATAGATAACAATAAGGTCGAATTGCGCTAGTATACAAAAAAAAATAGTGCGTGTACTAGGTGTAACACGTAAGAAGTGAAACTTCTTTATGATCTTATTTTTCGAAAAATGATCTACTATATGCAACTTTACAGAAATTCGTTAAATTAGATAACAACAGGCTTTTATTATCATAGACATGAATACAAATATTTCATTTTACCTTATTACTACGAAGATTATTATAGAATTTCATTAATTGTAATAGAATTATTACTATCATTGAAAAACGTGACGATTTGCTACAAAATTTCTCCCATACGTCGATAAAGAAGTTTCATTCCAACGCCGATAAAGAAGTTTGACTTCAAAAAGCAACATGGCGCGTAACCGAAAAATGTGACGCGTAACGAAAAAATGTTACACTAAATTTTTTTCCAACCTCGATAAAGAAGTTTCACTTCAAAAACGTGTTAAATATCTTTTGTGCCACTTTCAAAGCACTTTTTATTTGAATTACAGAAAATTGTGAATACAAATATATTCAAATAAATTTCGTGCGTATATTGAACAATTGACTGAATAATTTTCAATTCCCAATCGTTTATGCTAACTTCTCGGTTATAAAGTTATAAATTTATAGGCCCTTTGAATACTAAAACTTTATTTCGAAGTTGTTTTAACGACCCATTCATAATATTCTTAGCTATTAATCGCAATTATAAGGTAAAATACGAATACCAGCTTTACAGATTATTATTGTGAGAATACATTACACAGAACATAACAAAATATATTTTTTATTAAATTAATAGAGTTATGATTAAAATCATTGATGGTCTTGTGTTCGGTCGGGTAACACCGCCTGTGTACGAAGTAATGTGTTAAAAATAAAATTAGCGCATACTACTTTGTCTATATTGTTTAGTCTGTGGTTCTTTTGCATACTACACTAATATGTGTTTATACTCTATACTCAGTTACTTCCTTCTTTTATAACTTTGATAAACTCGCTGTACCGATTTTAATCTCTGCTATTAACAAATAAACTTATTCAACAATTAAATGATTATTCAATGACAACCACACTATGCTAACATAATGGAATTTGTTTTGTGCCTAATTATTAGGTGATCGAAGATCCAAAAAATCATGTACCTATAAAACAGATGTGATACCTGAAGCCAAGTACTACAGCAAATCGTATAGTCTAAGACATAATTTAGCTCTTAATATAATTATAAAATAATTAATATCGTTATAACTCACAAATCACATGTCAAACTTTCAAACTACCAGTGTGACGTCACATCCTGTGATATGTTAGAAATACTTGGTTATCTGACAGAACAATATCTTGAATTCAAACTTTATGGTAACGTAACAGACCTTAATCCAGTATCGTAATTATTCTCCTAATTTGAGTTTCAGCTGTCATTTGATTAAAATTTGATTTCAACGTAATAAACTTTGTGTTGTATAATCAAATAAAATTTATTGAAATTAAGTTATTAATTGCTTAGCGAACGAAGAAATGGTATAGAACCTGAATATAGATATAGATGAATTATGAATAAATGTAATTTACTGTTTACACACGAAAAGCGTTATATATTTGTATAGCGATATTTTCAATTAGTTTTTTATTATTACTTTTTCGATTGGGACTGTCAGACTCTAGGTCTGTCCAAAAAGATAATCCGGATGTCGGTTTTTTGTTACGTAGACAACAGTGTTACATCCAGCTTCTTACGCGTGTACTTATGTACGCGCGTAAGAAGTTATTTATTTATTTATTTATTTATTTATTTATTTATTAAGGAACATCCAACAGATTACATGTATAAATTTTCTAATTAACAATATTGGGTTTTGTTCTAGCATGCAATCTAATAATAGGTGTACACAACATTGACTTAATAAATGAAAGCGTACAGAGTTTACTTAAGTATTTGTATCTTTAAACATAGATAAATTGAACCGTGGTAAATATTACATGACTTATGGCTGAGATGACTGAATTTTCTTCTTAAAACTAGGAAGTGAGTCATAATACACGTCAAGACTATGTCTACAACTACATTGGTTAAAATTCCTAAGCATTCTACTGAGGGGCGCATGTTTACCTAGATTGGTTAAGGACTGTGAACGACAAAATTATCAGTCTGTCTTCTTCTTGCGTTGATTCTAGGCATTACGAATAAATCTTTTTAAAATATCTGGACAAATAATCGTGCCGTCATCAACTGACAAAACACCAGGTCCACAATCATACGACGATCCTCGAGAGTTTGCAAATTGAACTTCTGTAATCGATCAACATAATCCCTTCTGTAGCAAAATTTAGGGGTTTTGTACGCCAGAAACCGTGTGAATGTTCTTTGAGGACGTTCTAGTGCATACTTGTGTGTTTGGTATGTGGGATTCCACACAACACTAGCGTACTCAAGGTGGCTGCGCACCAATGCATTGTACAGAGTAATAAGAGTTTTAACATTCTTAAAGTCAGTGGTATTACGCCTAATGAAACCGAGCATCTGAAATGATTTCGCTATAATTATTTCGTGGTGAGGAGTAAAAAAGAGAGCACTATCCAGCGTCACACCAAGGTCTCGTATACGATCAACCTCCTCAAGAGCAACTCCATTAATTGAGTAAGAAGATTGGAATAAGTTTTTATTCCTAGTAAATTTTATATGAAAGCATTTACCAGCATTTAAAATCATGAGGTTATTTTTACACCAAGTGTGTATGGCAAGTAAATCCTTTTGCAATAGAGCAATATCATTCGTTGAAGTTATTGTCTTAAACAATTTCATGTCATCGGCAAACAATGAACATTCACTATAATGAACATGATCTACTATATCATTTATAAATAAAATAAATAAAATTGGCCCGAGGTGAGAGCCCTGAGGCACGCCTGAAGTTGCCACATACGGTTTTGATGCATAACCATTTGTCACCACTGTTGATGATCTGAATTTAAGGTACGATGCAAACCAAGAATGTAAGGATCCGCAAACACCAAATGTAATTAATTTTTTTAATAATATATGGTGACAAACTTTGTCAAAGGCGCTACTAAAAATCAGTATATATCGCATCTACTTGTATCCGCTTATCAACATGCTCCATGAGAGTTGTGACATAAGGAACCAGGTTCGTAGACACAGATCTGCCGCGCTGGAAACCATGCTGTCTCACACTTATCATAGGTTTAACGTGATAAGTGAGAATTTCACATATAACTGACTCAAACAATTTTGAAAACGTGCTCAGAATCGAGATAGGTCGGTAGTTTTTTACGCTTTCCCTTTCACCCTTCTTATATACTGGGATAATACGTGCTTCTTTCCAAATAGTAGGAAATATTCCTTTGTCCAGGGAAGAATTAAAAATAAGAGTAAGAGGGAAAGCCCAGCCTCGGCAGCACACCTCTTCACGAAAAGGGGTGGTAGACCGTCTGGCCCAGCGCCCTTTGTAGGATCCAGTTTTTTTAAAGCCTTTAGTATGGTTGCCTCTTGGAAAACTATTTTGCTTAATAATAGGTTAGCCATGATATAATCAGGATGGGTATAAGCAGAGGCAGTACTATTATTCAGTTCATAGACATCGTTATTGAAAGTCGATGAAAAGTGTGTGGCGAACAAATTTACTATTTCATTGCCCGTTGAGCCAGTCCCACTGTCATGTTTCATGAGCGATGGCAACGCATTTGAATTTTTTCGTCTTTCACTGAGGTATTTCCAGAATTTTTTGGGATCTTTATTTATGGCCTCCTCTGTGTTACGTATATAGGCCAAATAACACTCTGAATAATGCTTATTACATCGTTCGCGTAGAATTTTGTACTCAAATTCATCACGGGGGTTATTGTACTTACGTGACCGACGCCTAAGTTT